GCCCCCCCCCCTCCCTGCCCCGCCGCCGCAAGACCGCTCCGCATAGGCTTGTGCGCTGCCCTCCCCCTCACCCGCTGAGAGCCCAGGCCTGCCGCCCTCTTCCTCCCCCCAACCCCCCAAGTACCTGAAGGTAGTGAGGGAGAAGCTGTAACCCCGCTCCGCCATTTTGGAACGAACCCCTCCACTCCCCTCACCAGCTCCCTCTCCGCAGGCGCAGTCGCTCCGCCCACTTCCTGCACGAGGACACAGCTAGCGCGCTGATTGGTGAGGTGGGGAGAACAGAGCATGCCGGGAAGGAGCGCCGGGCCCGCGAGGGACGCGATTAGCAAGGCGGCACGCCGTGAGGCATTCTGGGACTTGAAGTCCTGGTCTCGGTTCCGGTTGTGCCTTGAAGGTCTGGGCGCACGCGGTTTCCCAGAAGGCTCAGCGACAGGCGCGCATGCCCAGTGGGCCCCCGGGCGAGAGACCGCTTTCCCCTCCTCTGAGGCCTTGGCGGCGTTGTGTGGGAGTATGGCGGCTCTGGTGGTGGTCTTCTCTCCCCTGCCGCGGCTTCGCGCTCTCCTTCAGCGTTGCTGGGGGCGGCTGGAGCGCGGCCTCTTGCCGGGTTTCTCCGGGGGCCAGAGTCCGCCCTGGGGTAGGTGCTGGCCTGTTCCCCTCCCGGCTGAAGGAGAGGGCGGCATCGGGGCGGCGGGACCTGTTTTTACCGTTGAAGGGCGGAGGGAGGGGGCTGGAGCAGGGGAGCGCGCAGCCCTGGCGGTAGTGAGGGAACGGGGCGGGGTGCGCCGCTGGCCGCTCTTACTTCCTCGCCTTGGGGGTGTCAGTAGCATCTGTGTCTTGTTTCTTCGGCTGCACGCGAAAATTGGGCTTGAGTATAATGGATTACCTTCCCTCCCCTTCAGGACCGGCACTGGCTGTCCAAGCTCCAGATTTTCTTCCAGAGCCAGTAAGGGACACTACAGAAAGTAACGAGGCACCCGGCCTCTTAGATAGCATCTTGTGGATGGCGGCGCCAAAGAAAAGGCGCACCATTGAAGTGAACCGCTGCAGGCGAAGAAATCCCAATAAGCTTATAAAACTAAAGGTAATCACCAAATTCCCACGGATTTGTCAGCTTTTTGACTGCAGGTTATTTTGTTAATGGCAAACAAGCATGCTGGAGTAAGATTTACACCAGTCATTTTTCTTCTCACTTGTTTTAGAGAATCATTAAAGTGGTCAATACTGGCTGGAAAAGCTTTCTGGAATTTATTTATAAATAAGCTTAAAAGACATTTTAATCTTCAGAATACTTTGTAACAGGTACAGTCATCTTGTGTGACAGTATTCTGTGGTTAAATAGTGACAGTTTAGGTGCAAGCCAACAAAATGTGAATTTTGGCTAAACAGCTAATATAAATGGAAAAAGGTCTATACTTTTTCTGCATCTAACTCAGTTGATAGGTCTTTAATCTTCCAAACATCGATAGGCATAATGATCCAGGTATTGATTTCATAGGCTGTTTTTAGTAGTAAGCATTTGAGATAGCAATACATTACAGAAAAATTACTTTAGGTAGTATTACATAAATATTACTTAATATTAGATAAATATTACATAATGTTACATAAATATTTACATAACATTTTAAGAATATATTTTGAAAATGCAATTGAATTTCCCTGGTATTTCATGTAACATTTTTAGTAGTTTGTGATTGTTCTCTGTTTCTTTTGTTGCTGTTGTTCAAATTACAAAATTTCCTATTTTCCACTGTCTTTTTTTAGAGGAACATAGATGTCTGTCCTGAGTGTGGAAACTTGAAACAGAAACATGTCCTTTGTGGCTATTGTTACGCAAAGGTGAAAGCAGAAACTCGACTGATACGGAGGGAAATACATAAAAAGGAAGGAGGACCATTTAATGCTCCAACTGTAGAGACAGTCATCCTCTATGATGGAGAAAAGCCCACAGAAAAAGATGAAGGCAAGCGGATCATTGAAAGAGCCAGGAAGCGCCCGTCTTGGTTTGTTCAAAATTGATGCTATAGAACTAATGCTAACAGAAACAGTTGCTAAAGCAAGAAAGATCATGGTTTTCAAAAATATTTTCCTCGTTCACTCAATGTTGATATGGAAAACCTATGAACTTTTGGGAATCCTGCCTGAATCGCGTGTCATGCCATATGGTGTTGCAGACAGGTGTTCTTCCTATAGCATGCAGTGGGAAATGCTTCTCAGTGATACATCATAGCAGTCAACAATTAAAGAGGAAGCAGGATCTACCTTGGGTTTGGACATCTGCCAACAGTACACAGAATAATTTGCATGCTACTGTTCTATGCTGGTTTTGTAAATAACATTTTTTTAACAAAGAAAAGTAACATTCACAGATGTAAAATAAAGTATGTCAAGTTTCCTGGGGAAATCTGCTTCCTGTTTTTGGCTGCTGCTCTTTTGGAGGGTGGAAAATACCAGTTCAAAACCAATGTTGATTAGATACAAAGGATATTTACAAGGAAAGATAGTTATGTGTTTATTTCCATGGCTTTTAACAGAATCTGCCTGGACACAATGCTGCTGTTTGAGACGCTTGGTGATATTCCTGCTTTTGAGCAAAATAGTGGTTGCCATGTAGTATTTGCACTTTGTACTGACTGAAGGTTAAGTGTTTCTTGCTGTTGCCAGTATACAAAATGACAGTCTGTCTTAAAGGGGTATGGAAAGCCTTCCCCCTCCCCTCCCCCAAAGCGCACTTGGTTTCTTGAGTGACATAACGAATTGAAATGTAATGACTGGAAATCTGTACATTTGACAAGGGTGAAAGCTGATTCTTTGCAGCCATTGCCATTAAGTAGTCTGGGTGGTCAATGTGCGCTTGGAAAACCCCTAAGACCAGCGGAGCCTTCCTGTCGAGTCTTCTGCACAGGGGAGCAGCTCTGCCCTCTGCTGTCCATTGGTACTCTTCAGTGATGCAGTTACAGCACTTAGCTGTGGATTTTCCCTTCAGTTTTAGCCGCATCATAGCACCGTCGCATTTACGATTAAGACTGTTTTCAATTGTAGGTTGGGATTTCAACACACAAACGGTACTGTTTGACGTTATGGCTCAGCCAGTATAATAGCTATTTGCTACAAAAAAATGCGAGTTTACCCCTAACCCTGGCCTGGTTGCCCCTGTGTTTCCTTGGCACTTGAATGTGTCTGCTTCTGTACAGTCCTGGTTCAGGGAGCTATGCTGACAGTGAACTGTTCCCTGGCTTTCTATAACTTGGTGTTTAGTGGGTACCTCTCTGTAGCTTAGCTTGTGTCAGGGTCAGAAAAGTGGCAACACAGGCAGCAGGAGTATGAAAGTGGAGGGCACAGGACTACGCTTTCCAGAATAGCCATTGTTTGTACGTGACTAAGCCAATTATGCCTGCTTAAGGAGTGGGCTCGTGTGTGCTGTAATGCTTCCCTTTTGCTTTCCTTGCTCTGGATTCCATGTTTTGAAACATAACTGGTAGGAATAGATAGTAGCAGAGAAGTTGCTTTTCCTCCATGGTCTAAGGGAATAATGAAAGATGATAAGTGTAAATTGATGCCATTTAGTTGACAGTATCCAAGCAAACAACATAAGTTCTTTTCGATTTGTCCAAACAGGATTTATTCCAGTCATACCTTTTTTTCACTTACTGAGAACTGAAGGCAGTAAAAGGTGGCAAGCAGGATGCAGAGTGGAAGGCTTACTTTTCCAGAGCTGCATGGGATGAGACTGACATATCGGAGGTGAGATTAGCCAAGCAATAAGACAGATATTTTGTCCTGAGGGAAAGGTGTGTATGTATTTTAGGGAGAGGTGGGGATTTTTGTTTCTTTGTCCACATAAGACCAATTACACCTTACTGCCTTAGTTGCTTTTTATATATTTGTATTTTTGACAAAGGTTCTGTAGAGAAATAAGCTAAATTAGCCTGGGGTGTCATGGGTTATTTTCTTAAAAATGCAGAGGTATTATTGAAAAAAAAACCAAAAAAACCCAAAACTATTTTTCTCTACACAGTCTCCATTTGCTAATGGAGTAATAATTATAATTGGCATATTGCATTAGTTCATTGAATTATAGTATCGATGAAGCAATGAAGATGTTTTACAAATAGAGTTCTTATGAAACATGAGTGAAGTTAGGCTGTGCCAATGCTAGACATTTTAAGATACTTGCCAGGTCATGGTTAGGTAATGATTCATTTCACAGGCATACTGCTTATGTTAGTACTGCACTTGTGCAATCCAGACAAGAAGAGGTGCTTGGTAATATTTCATAGTGGTTTCTGAGTAATGTGGAGAAAAAAGTCATTGAAGTATTTGGTATTCATGGTATTTAAAAGAAAAATTGGAAACAACTGACAAGTATTGAAGATTCGTAGATGCAATTGATATAGTACCAGTCGATTTTCCGAAAAAGAAATTATCTCCAGTGAGAGTCAGAACAGTTTAGTTTGAATGACTTTCCCCTCAAAAGAGTAAGGAAAGCTCACTTTCATAGCTTCATTTTATGAACACTGACAATATGAAGCTCCATTACTTAAAAAATAACAGAATTCCTCTAAAACATGTGGCATAGTCTGTTACTTAAACCCTGATTATATGTAATTTTCGCAGAATCACAGAATGGTCAGGGTTGGAAGGGACCTCTGGAGATCATCTAGTCCAACCCCCAAAGAAAAGAAAGAAGTTACCATTATTTTCAAAGAAAATGATTTTCAAATTTGAGATTATTTTCAAAGAAATATAAGTTGTAATAGTGCTAATATATAAATATGCACTTTCAAAACAATATAAATTAACAAAAAACAAGCTGGTTGTGACAAATGCTGTAGTCCAGAATCCATTTAAAAAGAAAAATTATATGCCTCAGGGAAATTTCACTTTGATACATTGGGAACCTGCTAGTAGCTGAAAAAGACGTTCTTTTTTGTCTGAAAATTTCATGTGATTAAATACATGTTATATTTGATTATCTTTTTCTTCTGTAAGGATTTTATGCAAAAATTATTTTATTTTTCATTTTAGAAAGAACCGGAAAGGTGATGTAATGTCCTAAAATACAAGAATGCAAGTTGCTAAATGATTTTGTATCATACTAAGATCTGTAGAGCTAGAGGTGATTTCTGGCAGTGATCAATTATGATATCCATAGAGGTTGATAAACCAATTTCTCTTTAATCTGCCGTTTAGCGAGGGAATTTTATTAAAAGGTTTCTGCACAGTCCTCATCTATTCTGTTGTACACGCTAGGTCAGCAAGAGCTGGCAGTTGATATAAAATAAACTTCTCTAAAGCAGTAGGTGGCAGAGGAGTGTAGCTTTCTGGTAAGCAGAGAATAAAAGCCCAGGATCACTAATGAGATAGGAAACGCTGTCAGATTCAAGAAACTTGCACCTGTGTAAGCAAAAGATCTGCAAAAAGACTAAACTTGCGAAGTACGAAGAAAAATAAAATAGTTTTAATGAGACATAAACTAATCTATTGTAATTTATTACTCTGACTAAATTTAATTGGATCTATACTGGGAACTAATACACTGGCTTTTGTGTATATTTATGCACTTCTGCTCTTTGCTGGGTGAATTATTTAAAATTGCAGTTGTACCTATCATTTTTCCCTAACAAAATAGTAGAGCTCTTTTTATGCCTCTTAATTACAGATGGCTTTCTACGTTGTTTTGTATGCCTAGTATATTCAGTTAGTTGCAGTTTTATTTACGCAGCTAGAAAGTACTGCAAATAATAGGTCTGGCAGAATTCCAGTGAATTTCAAGTTATAACTGCCTTGAATTTGTAGAGTCAGAAGGATCAGTTTTACAAACAGCAGACACAAAGTGGAAAGAAAAGAAGACCAATATGGTGTCTAAATTAATTTTAGTTGCTCAGAAGGGAATAGAACATTGTCTGCTCCATCAAAGTTTTAAAATGTTTTGGAAGCATACGAGTGATAAAGGTGCCTGTATCCTTAGAACTTACTTGTTAATTAGTATTTAAGTGAGATATTAGCAAAAATCCTTCTTTTACCTCACAAGACTGCATTGTATTATTTATACAGTGAATGAGGATCAGTAAATACAAGTTGTTTCCAAATAACTTTCCTAATTCTTAACCTGCAAAAGACTTTAAGAATGGGGCCAAATGGGAGGAAAATCAATTAAACTAATGAGAAGGAAGTAGGCAATGCAGCAGTGATGGATCTAGTTTTGTCTTCTCTGTGTATATTCCTAGGAAGTTCTGTTGAATTCAGTGGAGTATAATTCAAGGCAGGATTTGGTCCGATGTACTGAAACCCTGGACATGTGGATGTATGCAAGTGTATCTACTTTTAATGCAGAACATATACCTGTGAAACTACTGCTGGATACCAACAGGACTGGGTTTACAGCTGAAAACTAAGATTGCATTTGATGAATGTAGTAAAAGGAGTCTAATCAGTTGAGACTTGAATTTCTTTCAAACATCCTGCATTTCAGTTTCCCCGGTTGAGGAAAATACCCATATTTAGAAGAAAGGGTATAGGATTCATTTCATATTGAATGTGCTGGATAAACGTATGAAAAGCAAAACTGAACCTGCTCTGGAGCAGAAGACCCAAAACAAAAGCTTTTATGGAGTTGTCAATGTACAATATTTGGCAGGGATTTCTCTAAAGCTGTACTCCGATCATGCAAATTATTTTTTTTTTTTTTAATAAAGCAGATTTCTTGGTTTTAAGATGGTGGGTCAAAGATGAAGAAGCAAAAGTTTGGAAAATCACTAGGCAGAAAACCAATCCTATATTATTATTTTTTTAAGTGTCATACTTTTCAACCAATCCTATGACTTTGAAAATTTGGGATATACTTAGTGTGTCCTGATCATCCAAATGCAGAAGCATCTGACTGTTTCCCTTGGTTTCCTGAAAGGGCACAGACTTTTCTCTATACAAGGTGGTTCTGATGGACTTGTTCTCACTACACAAGCATATAGAAATGTTCTGTCTGACGTGTCCTGGGTATAAGCTTGATTAATCCTTTG